TTTTGCCCTCTCTTGGGCTAGTCCTACATAGTGTCACCTACCAACGGACGTATTTGAATGTCGCCCCAAAGGACAAGAGCGCTGGCGTTATCTTTCTTACTTGGAGTATGTCGACTGATTCAAAGTGAAATTCCACGAAAACATCCGAGGGGCTGATCCAAGTTAGGTGGTGGTGGGGGTCGTGTCAAAAGCCCCTTGAAAACGTGGGGTAGTGAAAATCTTGGGATCGGATACATCGTGACGGTCCATTTTGTTGTCACTTAAAATGCGGTAGTGTCACCCCTCGAAAACGAAGTCAAATCAGGAAAAAACGAAGATCACTTGAATTCAACGTACCACTAAATATGCGATAAATAATATGGCAACTGCGATCTTTGTTCTGAGATCAAGAAGGAAAGGCACGTAATAACTTCTGAAATGGAAATTTGTTAGTTTATTTCACTGAAATATCAGTACACTGAGCAAAAACGGCGTTCAAGTCGAAAAAATGCGGCACTTCTTAATGTCTGGAACATGACTTTACGACTTAAAGCCGCACCCCCGGCAGAAGTTGTGTCGAAGGATCTATAGTGGATGGGATAGAGTAGCCCACGAGCAGCACAGAAATGTCGTTGTCACGGCCGAAAGTCCGGGTACCCCCCAGGAGGCCCGTCGCGCGGCAAGAAGGCAGAGTCGCGGACGAGTCGCAGCGCGTGATGTGCGATGTAGGACGTGCAATGGACATTCTATTTAACTTGACGCGAAATCCCTACAGTACGCGCGGAACTCGTCCGCTGACTCGCCTTCTTGTCGCGCGACGGGCCTCCTGGGGGTACCCGAAAGTGTGCGACAATGTCGAAGGTTCTTACATTTTTAACTTTGGCGACTATTCTTAGCATTCGGACGAGTTACGTCGCGCACACCCCCTGACACTGATCATGGCCTAGTGGCTAGTCAAATTCGCGCGGGTAGTTGAGCCGTGTAGCAGGCAAGGCCCCACTCCCTCCTTTGACTAACGTGGAAGCTTAAGCAAGCTCCTTGAACAGTTTAAGGACTCTTGGTGAAACCATTCCATTCCTCTCCTAGTCAGAACAAAGTGAGCGAAACAGTCCTTCACTAGCTAGTTGGTCACAGTAGAGGACCAACTAGCCAGATTCAGAGGTTAGATATTGCTCTTTGCTTGTGAGCAAACACAACAACACTGTGCTAGATCTATTCACATTTCCGTGATGTTTCTGTGAACTAAAGGAGGCTCTGTGTGAGTTCAAGGCAAAATTCAGGCAAATTCGTACCAAGTTTCTCAGACCTTAGAAGACTACGTTTTCTAGAAGTCAGCCTTGTTCGCACCAAATAACATAATCAAAGGAGAACAGTCATCTCTCCCTCTGGAAATCTGACCGATTTGGTCTGTTATTTTGACTAAGTGGCCCTTCAAGAGGTGCTATCGGACCTCTGCAAGGGTTCACTATCTAGTGAGCCCTTTTTTAACGCGTGTACCGTCCTTTGGGGTCAGGGTGTGTGAAGAGTTAAGAAGCCCTTCTTACTCACAAATTGCTTCTTGGTCATACCTGAAAAACCGTCCCATGCTGCCGCGATTGAGCGCCTTCATCTCTGCTGGAGGCACTTCGGAAAGCACTGATACTTCACGTGAGCTCTACAAAGAAAGAAACGCCACATTCTGCTCAGATGCTGACTCAGGCGAATTTCATTATCATCAATTCAAAAAACCTACCTCGCTTGGTGCGCTGTCCTCACTTATGCTACTTTTGTAGCGCGGTGACATTCTGCTAGCCGAGAAGGCGGGGGCGCGGAGGGCGGGCGTCGTTTAAATTATTTTTTGCTGGAACACGTAAATTCAGGTATTCATAATTTTATTATTATAATTATAATTTTATCATTATTATTAATTAACTATTATTGATTACTAATTAGTGAATTGATTCTTTTCTAACGTTTGCCTTACGCAACGTAATAAATAAAAAATAAACAATAAACAATAGACAATAAAAAGGCATTTCTTATGCTCAGATGCCGAGTGAAAATGATCAAGTGAATATGAGACTTTTGCTTCGTTTTTTGATTCCCTTGTGAATGTTATGCTCTACCACAACTGTGAATTAAAGGCACAGCCCGGGCAGAAGTTGTGTGAACGATTTCCTTCGGTCGGAAAGTAGGCCCCTTGAGGACAATCGTAGATGGTCATTCGCCTATCATTCTATTTATTTTACTCGAATACGACGTGAAATCAAAGACAATTCACAGCATGCAAATGAATGCTGAGGCTATTTGTGACGTAACACAGTTGTTGAGCGCAGTTGTGGCAGCGGTTGAATGGCATTGGCACTGGAGCGATTGGAGCTGGCTTCATAAAACTCGTCCAACACGTCCCTTCTCTATCCCAAAGTGGAATGCGGCTGATATAGATAAGGTCCTTATTCGGGGGTAACCGAGCTTTTTCTGCTTCTCTTTTCTTTTCTGGCCCACTTCGCACCTCCAGCTTCAATACTGAATGCTATTGTATAACCATTTTATCCCGGGGCCTACCTTCAACACACAGCTGAAAGAAAAAATTTCAGAATGTACCTCTACGTCTACTGTTGTCTTCGTCTTCTTTTTCTTTCGCTATTTTCTCCGCTTCAATTTCTTTCGCATGAATATCCACCGCCTGGAATTTAAAATTTTAAATACCTGAATAAATTGCATTATACTCTTTAGGCTTGCAAGCGGAGCAAGATGTCGACATTTCCGAAGAATAGAAACAGTTATTTTGGATTTTGTTGCACACCTCCCCCCAACCCTTTGAAAATCCCTCTCTCAGAACTTTGACCGTCTTCACCTATATTGAAAATTTCATTGGGGATGTAACCCTGCTTGGACAACTTATGACTCCAAAGCTCCCCAGAAGTCATGTAAAGCATGCAAAGATGGTAAGGTTTACCTTAATGCAAGGTATACAGGAGTTTCTGCCGGCCAACTCCACCTTGGCCGAAATCACCATAAGTCCAGCGAAAAAAGTGATCTGGAAAGGTCAGTTTAGTGATTCTATCACCGACGCGAGGCTGCTACAAACTTACCTGGTACAACCAGGTGAAGAACATACAGGCTGAGGTCATAGCGCAAGAATCCTTCGACGGCAATAATGTCGGTCAAAGTGCCGACACCAAACGATAACACCTAAAGCATTAGCGTTAGCACAGAGAGCATTAGCGTTGAAGAGGGCAGCACCTATGAGAGCCGGTCAATGTGCAAATTAACGGGAAAGCAAGGGGCCATTTCTCGGGTCCTGGGCCGTTTTCTGATTTTCTTTCTTCTTTTGTGCATCACTAACTGTCACTAACTCAATTTCCAGTAAGTGGCGTGCGGTTCATTGTAAAAATCCGCCTTTGAACTGTAAGCTTCAGAGTTATGATGCTAGCCTCAAAATTGTTCAAGGCGCACTGAGGAATATATGTAAACCCACGTCAGTAATAGAGGTGATAAAGATTGCAACCGAAGACTCGCTGATTGCTTCTAATGCGTATTCTTCAACACAGAGTTGAATCTGCCTGAATAAGTCCTATTACCACTAGCACTAAAACTAATTTCGGATTCTTATAGAATTCAAATGGGGCGCACCTTAGGAAGAGATTGATCAGTAATTAGCTCTCCCTATCTAGTGATTGATGAATTAGGGAAGAAATGCTAGTGATTAGCAAAGCGCCAGGAGTTTCCATCAACATCAGGACACGGGCATAGGCTGCGTGTGTAAGCGTCTTATGAAGGTGTAGGTGGATGTTGAAGTTTGCGTTTTCACTTTTTGATTTGATTGTTGCTTTTTCGGAGGACCCGGCAAAGCAAAGCTGGGCTTTTGCAAAATACACGGGCATTTCGAAGTAGTAGACAGGAGGGGCAAGCACTACGAAAGCGGAATTTGTTCACGCACCCTGGGGGCCTCCACACTCTAAGGCTTACCCTTAGTCTCACATGGCAGAAAGATGGTTGCCGCACTTTCGAATGAGTTGCCGTCGCAGCGCCTCCTTTTCTTGCGATAGCATCGCAGAACTTATTACAACGATGTTGAGTTATGGGCACAAAATTCTGCTCCAAAGGAGAATCGAATTCGAACCTGATGCCTCAGGGTAATGCTGAACCTCACATTCGGTCATGTTTCAGCTAAACTTATTGTTAGCTTCAAAAGCTGCGACAAACTAGCTTTTGACGTCAAATTAGTTGACAGCCCAGATGCCCAAAATGCGTTTCAACGAAAAATGAGTTTCAACTCCCAGATTAGACATATGTTTAGCTTGAGTCTTACAATTATTGCTAATTTCTAATTTTCAACTGTGAAAATCAATTAGGGGATAGGGAATGGGGCAGTCCTTGCTATTTTATCCTTAGTCCTAGAGAGCAGTTCTTTGGGCTATCGAACACTACGGATAAGATAATAAGTGAACGACTCATTCAAAGTGCACACTTTTGATAAGGACCGGTGGATGTCCTATATTCCTACATTCCCTGCAAGCATCCTATCCCTCACAAGGTCATCCACCCTTGAGCTGGATGCAATCCTAGAACCATTGCAGGCGGAATCGTGGAAGCACCTCAGGAGTATTCCTACACTACACCGGTACTTACCAGAAGTACACTTAATCGCGAGCGCTCTCATTCGTATCTTAAGTATTGGACAACACAATGGAGTGCCTCCCCCCAAACTAGGTTTTCATCGTTTTTAACATATACTTTGCTTGATCCGAGAGAGCTGTTGCAGACGATTATTATGACGAAATGTCTCTTCGCTAAGCTTCATTTCGCGAGGGCTGTATTTTACGGATAGCCCTGTCACTTTTTACATATAAGAGACTAAAACTTGTTTCGTTGACTCCGTAATGTGAGTCTCTTACTCGTATTTACTGGAAAGCGGAGACGATGTAGTAGCTAGTGGTGTC